CAGAGGGTCTACTGTCATTGTCCCCAAATCACACATTATTTTAAGTGGTGTATTTTTGAAAATTAAGGATCATCACTCTAAATCACCCATCAAGTCTATTCTTTTCTACTATTCAGCCAGACATCCTTACCTCTATCGGTAACCTTTATAGAAAAACTGCATGTTTGCTTTGTCAATCCCCTCTACATTTTCTTTCTTTTAGTTCCAAAGCAAGTTCTTTGAAAACAATTGTCGAAGCTATGACGGAGCATTCTAATACTCTGTGCATCCACTGCTCATTGGAAAAATAACAAGAACTTTGCCTGTGATTTTTTTTTTGCCCATTAATCATGAGGCTTGGGACCCCCAAAACTCACATTCTTTAATTTGTTATAAATTATTTGGGGAGCAGGAGAGGGAGAGAAGACTGTTCTGAAGAGGAGTTATTTTCAACTTGAAATGTTAATTCTGTTACTTTTATTAGTATTTCCATCACTTTCTGATTTCCATTTATATTAGAGAATTCTGTTGGTCCATCTATAATAATTAGACAAGTTTGTACCATGATCAGAAATTAGAATCAGCCAAACAGCTCTTAGCAGCTCATGCATTCAATATGCTGCTCTAAGTAAATCATGATGCAATTCCTCTTTCCCACAGCCATTGCATTAAATGGGAATATTACCACTTTTTTTTTAAACAGAGGAATTAATACTTTCACCTTGTGTGCCTTCTGGAAATGCAGATGTTTTATAGTCCATTTAAAGATAACAAGGATGTTCAATCCAAAAGACTTTTACATACTTTGATAATTAAACAAAATTTTAACCATTTTGAATATTGCTCCATAAGCCAATATTGCTGGAAAATGAATAACTTCTGGGATAAATTAAAGGACAATAGAGATGATAGAAAATACAAATTACACACACGCAGAAGGGAGGCCAATGGTAAACAACCCTGTACAGCAGCAATGCACCATCACCACTGTATTAGCTCTCCACTAAGCACATCATACAGCCATGTGCGTATAGTCCAAATATAAAACATCTTTCAACATATCAAATATCTACTTGCTGAATTCTGAACTCACATGCATGACTTACTGTAGGTTCTTTTTTTGATGGGTATACAATTGTATAGCTATGTTATGAGTTATGTTTCAAATGGATAGCCTGAATCTCTGCAGAGCTAACTGTTTACTCACCAAGGGTTGAATAAACCTCATAATGCTGAGATGTTGTGAACATTCCTTAGAAACCACAATTAATATGTAAAATTCTTTGGGCATTACTAATATTACTATTACTACTAATACAAATATTTTCATATTAATTGCATGTTCTTCGAGTCACACCCCTTTTTCATTGATGAGTACCTTGGAACATTACAATGCTTACTAACCAGCAATTTTTGTACAGTCAATGTAATTTTGTACTTTAGGCACGCCATATCTTTCTAAAAAAAATCCTGCCTCTCTCTGTCTACTACCAAATCCCAGCAGTGAATTCAATGTAGCCCCCATTCATGGCACAATGTGTTATCTTGGTTGGGTAGTGAGAAACTTCATACTGACTGACACCTGCCACATTGTTCTGGTGATCTTCTTCCCAGAGCTTGCACCTAGGAGGCTCCATTCCACCGGCAAACCTCAGTCTCTAAGAGTTTGTCTTGTGAAATGGGAACTAGCTAACATGCCTACAGTTTGCTTTAGAGTTAAGATGCTCCTTACAATGCCTCTATGCTTCCCTGCTGGCTCCCTCCTGATTCTCTTACTGGAAAAACACATCTTTAAGAAACGAATAAGCAGAAAGCAAAACACATCTGCCTGTTAATTGGTATTTAACGTCTGAAGCAGGTGGAAGAATATGTCTGAATTTGTGCACTGAAACAGATCATTTCCCAGAAGAATACATGGATAAAAATGAGCAATTGGTGTGTAACCTTGTTAACATGCAAAATTGCTACATATGAATGTACACTACAGCATCTTGTGGTAGCTCTCACTTGTTGTTACAATCGCTCAAAGTTCCATATTCCTTTACCTTCAGCCTATATAACTTTACATCTTTCTAGCATAGACCCCTCATATTTTTCAATGTTTAAAAGCACAGGGTTGAAATTCTATTTCGCAGAATATCTTTTTACTTCCTTGTTATTTCTATTGCAGGCTGCTTGACAGTGTATAGTATGTTTCAGATAGTAACGTTTTAAGGATTTTCCTTCCGTAGATAAACTGTCATGTCAAAGTTACATGCTACAAATATTAGTATTTGTATGCCTTTCTTGCCCCCACTGCTTTGGTGAAGATCTGAAGCCATTTGAAATTAACAAATGAGTTAGGATGCCTTTTAAAAAACATACAAGAGAATTCCACGTGAGGACATTTGTGTTCTACAGCAACAGTGGCAAAGTATAATGTTAAGGTTTGTAAATGTTTCAACACAAGCATCCATCGTATAATGATAAAGGGCAACATCCTGAACAGTGACACAACTAGAACATCTTAGAGAAAAGAAAATACTTTTGTCCCAAATAAAAACCGAAAGAACTGTGGATGCTGTAAAACAGAAACAAAAATAGGAATTGCTGGAAAAACTCAGCAGGTTTGGCAGCATCTGTGAAGAGAAATCAGAGTTAATGTTTCGGGTGTGGTGACCCTTCCAGGCCCGAAACATTAACGCTGATTTCTCTTCAAAGATACTGCCAGTCCTGCTGAGTTTTTCCAGCAATTTCTGGTTTTGATACTTTTGTCCCAGTTCATCTTTCATTGAAAGTCAGAAGCTTATAATGCTTCTAGCAATATATACCTAGATAGATGGAAATAGCTGAAACCTTAGATCAAGACTGCATAAACCAAAGATCAGACCGTATAGAATACTGACTATGGTAATAATCAAAATAATACTTAGCAAGTTTTATTACTGAATTACACTTTTTCCTGTGTCACTGGCATGACAACCAAGCAAATTAATATAGGCAACTTTTTTGTCATTCCTAGCAGCAGTGTTCAGGGACAGTATTAAAGCATTGTTAGCTTGGAAACCAGCATCATTATAGACTGGGACTAGACCAGCTTGGTTCTAGGTTCTCTGCCACATTACCAAACTCAAGTTTTTTACCGAACTACTTCACACGAAGCAGGAATGATCGTGAATCTGGATTATTAATTACAGTCTAGAATTAATCCACAGCTATGACATGTTTTAAAAAAAGTACTGCTCAGACTTATTCATTTTTTTGAACCTTTTGTCAACAACAGTAGCTTCAAGGGGAACAATTCTGATCCCTTTCAGTGACATAAATCAGAGTCTTTAAACTTTGGGTAAAGAAACATTTACAGAAAAATCAATAACACAAATTTTCTCCATCTTTGGGCATCGTGGAGACAATGCAGCAAAAGGTAACTCTTGGCTGAGAAAGTTTTACAACATTGAAAAGCCACTTACAAAGTCACTTGAGTTTCCTGTTCTGCAGGCACCCAGATTACAAATGAACACAAAGTTTTGAATCTGACAATCTTGAATATTGCCATTGTTCATTCACATATCTAATCCATTTACACTTAACATAATCTCATTAAACTAGTAGGACAGTACAGCTGAATGTCTCTAACAATAAAATGACACTTCTCAGTCAATACAAGAAAAGGCAAGCTTCAATAGCAAATTCAACTGTCCTGCTGTAGCTTTTTTAACCTTCCCTGATAAATGCAGCCACTGTGTTATTCCCACCAATTTCCAAATAACCAGAAGTGTAATTTTTGAAGCAAAACTGCTGTTTTACAAATAGCCGTTACACCATATTACTCTGCTCCTACATCTTATGATGCCAAAACACCGGATATATTGAAATCTATATAACACCGTTCCTAGCAGTGGATCCTATTTGTGAGCATTTTGTTTAATTCCTGCGCTAGATTTTTCCCCATAGTAAACTATCAAGTTAGTTGTTCCGATATCAAATTTAATGTGGAATTAGATTTTGTAACACTCTTTTATGCAGTGTAAAATTGATAAAAACTAACCCCAATTACAGATACAGGGAACATTTGATGACAGCATTACATTATTGAAGTTTTTTTTCAATTAAACAAAATCTTGCTTCTGGGGAACTGGAAATTGGTAGAATGCAACCAGGGACTGTCACTTATCAAGGATATTTGTCAGATCCAAAAATTTTGTTCTTCCTTAACCTGAGACGCAGATTCTAATAAGCATGCTTTAGTTGTTGTAAATTTCACTATTTAATTGCACATACATAAACAGATGTGAAAATAGGGTTGGCAGCTCATCCAAAGAACACTAGGAGGCTGGTGTACAACCAAAACTTCTACAAGTAAATCACAAAAAGAAATTTTAAAAATAAAATTCAGAGGGCAATTGTTTAATCAGGGAATGACCAAACAGAACCAGCGGTAGAATAGTGACCCTACCCTTGATTTATACACATGCTAAAAAGTAGGAGCAAACGAACAAATCCCATTCTGCACTGCCCAATGTAAAATATGGTATGGGTGTGTATGGAACCACCAGTTCCTTCGTTTCCAGAAGATCGAACCAGGAATACACTACAGAGCTAGAGTTCCGGGCCCATACAACTTCCAACTTTGGGTCAGTTTGGTCTGATTTGACTTTTTTTTGTTCGTACCTCCCTAATAAAAAACTAGCTATGTAGAAAATAGAAAATGCTTTTACTTTTCCTTCAGCTAATAATTTCAACTGTACTGGGTAATGTGCAGTAATACATTAAAAACATGGTTGTTAAGTTCACAGTCAGCTGTCAGCAAACCTTAGCACAAGTCACACCTGACAACTTCTATTCACTGATATGTTAAGATGAGATGATCACATAGGCAGCTATAAAAATGATATGAGAACTTCTCTTTCAATTTAACGCACAGCGAACAAACAAATGATAAATATACATCTAAATAGTCTGTTGCAGAACAGTACATATAATAGGGAAGAAGGTGGCTATAGTCTATAACATTATATAATCCTGATTGCCTTCAGCCTTACGTTCAATCATCGTCGATTGCTTCTGTCTTGATCTCACTTCCACCCTGGCTGGCCAAAGCTAGGACCGAATGATTGACAGCTGCCATTTCAACAGCCAATGAGATAGGGTCTTGCTGATGATCACTATGGCAAGTATTTTCATCCTATGGAGAGGCGGAGGGGAGAAACACAAACTGCCATATAAGTAGCACTGGATTTAACAAAAATCAAATAATCTTACAGTTCAGCATTAATACGTGTTCGTCTGTCTTCTTCCTCCAGTGTTGGCTCTGTTCAAAATAAAACTCTTATTTCAGGTAAACCTACACTTTCCAAACTTCAATTGGGTTTCCATTCACTGAGAAATGTCTGAGCTTTCGATTAACTCAATCACAGCGTCACCTGCACTTCATTCCCTTTATCCCTGGTTCAGCTCTCACCTCTGTTCCTCTAAGTCCAAGGAACACAGGTCTAGAGAATCACAACATGGTTAAAGCAGAAGAGGCTATTCAGCCCATGCCATTTCTCTATTTGGGCAATTTGGCTACCCCCAATTCTCCATCCTTTTCCAATGGCGCTGCAAATGTCCTCTTTTCAGTTGTCTAAGTAATTTCCTTTTGAAAGCCACGATGAATCTGCCTCTACCAGAATTTCAGGCAATGCATCCTAGCGTGTAATCACTCCCTACTTAAATCAATAAATACGACAAATAGAGAAGACAACTGGTTTAGCCATTCGGTGCCAGATCTGGCTGAACCACATTCAGCACTGTCAGGTGCTGTACCTATCTGTCAAAATTGCTCGATATCTAGGATTATCCTGGTACACAAAGATAATGTTTGGGTTCTTTTCTCTACTGAAAACCATCTCCTTTCATCTGTTTTCATCCCCTCAACTCCTACATGTGTGAGGAGCTCACTAGCTCCTTTTCCCTTCCCTCCCTTCCACTAGCCCCCCTTCCAAACATCTTCTCAGATTTCCCACTGCTTCAGACATAAACACGTATCATTCTCTAGTTTCTCTCCTATCTCCAGCATTCATCCACTGAGCTAAACTTGTCCATGAGATCCACTTCATGTTACTTCAATCTTGATGACTGCTGACTACCGCACTTCCCATCCTCATTCACCTGCCAGCTGATGTTGTTAACAGCTCTCTGTCTTCAGCTGCTGTCCCCCATTCCTTCTCATCTCCTGTAATCGGATCTCTTCTCAACAAAACAACACATGACCTCACCAGCTTTGTAAACTACCACCCATCTTCAAGTTTCCCTACAAAAACTGCAGTTACTGGAAAAGCTCAGCAGGTCTGGCAGCATCTATGAAGAAAAGTCAGAATTGACGATTTAGGTCGAGTGACCCTTCCTCGGAACCGATGGTAGCTAGGAAAATATCAGTTTATATGCAGAAGATAGGGTGGGAGGAGGGGATAAGGCTTAAATGATAGGTGGGGTTAGAGCCCAAACAGACAGAAGAACAGTTGGACAGACAAAGGAGTGGATAATGATCTGGTTAGGAGGGTGAATAGCTGTTAATGGAGACTGTCAGTGGCTACAATACCTAACGTGTAATGGCAGACTATATGATAACAGGCCTGGTGTGTGGAGTAGGGGGCTAGGACATGGGAAAGTTTAGGCCCTAAAATTATTGAACTGAATATTGAGTCCAGAAGGCTGCAGGGTTCCCATGCAGAAAATGAAGAGTTATTCTTCCAGCTTGCGTTGAGCTTCGCTGGAACACTGCAGCAAGCCAGAGACAGAAACGTTGGCCAGGGAACAGGGTGGTGTGTTGAAGTGGCAGGCAACTGGGAGCTCAGGGTCTTTTTTGTGGGCAGAATGTAGATGTTCTGCGAAGCAGTCATCCAGTCTACGTTTCGTTTGCCCAGTGTAGAGGAGCCTACATTATGAGCAGCAATAGCAGTAGACTAGATTGTGGGAAATGTAGGTAAAGTGCTGCTTCACCTGGAAGGTATGATTGGGCCCTTGGATACTGAGGAGGGAGGAAGTAAATGGGCAGGTGCAGGGGATGGTGCCGTGGCTGTGGGGGGTTGTTGGGAGTGAAGGAGGAATGGACTAGGGTGTCCCGGAGGGAACAGGCCCTGCAGAAGATGGACACGGGGGAGGAGGGGAATATGTATGTGGAGGTGGAGCAAATGGCAGCTGACATTCTTCTGGATGTGGATGCTGGTGGGATGGTAGGTAAGGACAAGGGGAAACGTATCGCTGCTGCAGGAGGGAAGAGAGGAGGTGAGGGCAGATGTGCAGGAGATGGGTCGGACCCGGCTTAAAGCCCCATTTTCCCTATCTCTTCAAAGTCCTTAAACATGCTATTATCTCCTAAATCTGTACTCATCTTTCCCACAACTCCACATCCGTATCCTTTCAATTAGGTCTCTGCACCTGCCACCGTACTAAAACACCTCTTATCATGCTGCAACTGACGTCTTACAGATTGTCACCATGGTACTCTCCTTGCCCTTCTCTGTTAAACTTTATTTGGGAATGCTTCAATGAAATACATTAAAATGCATTAGTATGCTAAAAGGTACTATACAAATACAACCTATTGGCCCCACAAAGAAAATAGGCTTTAATGCCAGATCTTTAATGCCAGTCCTCTGGTTATCCAGCAGTACACAGGGTAAGATAAAACAAAAAGATACAGTTTATGATAATCCAAAAAATGAGATACATAGAAAGGTTAGAGGAGTATAGAAAGTACAGGGGTGAAGTGAAAAACAAAATTAGGAAAGCAAAGAGATGAATGGAAAAACATTGGCTGGTAAAATTCAGAAAAATCCAAAGATATTTTATCAGTACGTCAAAAACAAGAGGATTACTAAGGAAAGGACAAACCTATCAGAGATGGACATGGGTACTCCTGCATGGGTGCAGAAGATGTGGCAGGGTTCTCAATGAGTGTTTTGTCTATGCCTTCATAAGGAAGAGGGATATTGCAGACATTCATCTTAAAGAGGAGGATTAGATAAAACAAGCACAACGAGAAAAGAAGTACTGGAGGGAATGACCTTTTTGAAAGTAGATAAATCACCAGAGCTGGATGAATTGTACCTAAGGCTGTTAAAGGAAGTCGAGGAGGAAATAGTGAATGCTCTGAGGTTCATTTCCCAATCTTCATTAGATATGAATAAAGTACCGGAGGACTGGAGGTCTGGATAATGGTACAATGTTAGCAAAAGGGTATGAGGGATAGGCCATATAACGAGACACTGGTCAGTCTGAACTCAATGGTGAGCAAATTACTGGAATCAATTAGAGAGCTGGGACTACTGTTACTTGCAGAGATTAATGGTTTACAGTTAATTTTGTGAGTGAAAAACATTTCCAGTAATGTTCTACTGGAATCGGCCTTGGGTACCTTGATATTTATGGCATAGAATAATAATTTAGACTTGAATATGGGGTCCACGAGAATTTGGGGAAAATTTGCAGACGCCACAGAAACTGGCTGAGTCATTGAGGGTGAAGAGAATGCCTGTCAACCTTTAGAAAATATCACTGGGTTGCTTGAGAGAACAGAAAAGTAACAAATGGAATTCAATTCGAAGAAGTGCAAGGTTATGCATTTAGAGAGGGCAGGTAAAGCAAGTAAATGCACAATAAATGGAAGGATATTGCGGGTGTTAGAGGAAGAGATAAGACTTTGGTGTGCATGTCTACAATCCCTGAAGGCGGCTGGACAGGTGGAGAAGGTGGTAAAGACGACATACAGGATTCTTTCCTTCCTTGGAAAAAACACAGTTGAGATGTAATCTGGAACTATACAAGACACTAGTTAGGCATTTTTGGTTGGAATTTTTTTGTGCAGCTCTGGTCACAGCATTACAAGAAAGACATGATTGCTGTAAGAAAGCATACAGAGGAGATTTATAAGAATGTTGCCAGGACTTGAAAGTTGCAGCTATGAGGCAAGATTGGATAGGTTAGTGTTGGTTTCCTTAGAACAGAGAAAGCTGAAGGATGATTTTATCAAAGTATGCAAAACAATGAGGGGCTTGGACAGGCACAAACCTGTTTCATGTAGTACAGAAATCAATTACTAGGTGGCACAGTTTTAAAAAGCTTGGTAGAAGGATAAGACGAAACATAAGGAGAAATGTTTTCACTCAGAGGGTGATGGATGTTTGGAATTCGTTGCCCTGTTTGGTGGCTGAGGTGGAAACCCTCAACTTAAAAGGAACCTAGATTTGTACCGGAAGCTCTGTAACCTGAAAGGCTATGACCCAGGCACTGATAGGTGATATTAGAATAGACAGCTAGATTATAAAACTGGTGTAGATGTGATGGGCTGAATGACCTCTTTCTGTACGGTGACTTTTCTAAGGTTCGCCCCACAGAGATACAGGCATATACATATCACCAACAATAGTGTTTGGCCAGTCACTTATTTATGACAAAGCTTATCTAAAAAACACATAGAAAATGGAGTCTTGTCCAAATATATACGTTTCAATACTTTCACATTAGTTTTCATCTCATTGATGATAGTTTTATTTGTGAACATTTGCTCAAAATTCTTTAACTTCCCAATCCCAATATAACAACATTGCACCTACTGAATTTGGGTGCTAGAATTTCCAATGCTAAGAATCTATGTTGACAAAAAAAATCCCCTGTGTGTTTATATAAAGTTTATGATTTGAATATTGTATTTGCTTTTCTCAGAAAGGAACAGAAAATGTGTCAGCTACTATTTCCAGCCAGCACTTTTTTTCTAAATCTCATTCTAGGTATCCTTTCAGGACAGGCATGAATGCCTCTATTAAGTATCTTAGGATGTTTTTCTATGTTAATAGCAAATTGTTGTGGAAGGCAAAGGCTGCTCTATTTTAAATACAGCAATCAAACAACTAACACATTTCTTTTAAAAAAAAAACAAATAATGAGGCTTTGGGGTATCATCATTGCAAATATTATCTATCATTCACAGAGAACTATATTCACCAAGGCATGGGAAGGCAAACATCAATTGGCAATGAGTATCTGGGAGTAAGTGATAAGATTCTGAAGTAATTTTACACATCTGGATAAGCCTAATTTCTCCACTCCTGTCTCAACCTCAGCAACAAACAGCATGCTTGATGCCTCAACTTCAATAAGGTGTTCACTGAAATCCAAGCCTCCAAGCAAGATGAGGATGGCATTAGCAGTAGCTATAGAGGTGGCCGTGATCTTGAAACTACTTGTGTCAAGCTCTTTCTAAGCTGGATCAGATGACATCTCCAACATCTTGCAGCCTCTATTGTACAATGGATGTCACTGGTGCTTTGTATGCAAAGAAAGGTGCAGCAAGCATTCTTCTAGTGCTGCACGGTGGACTTGACTATACACACGTCACTTTGCAGGATTGCTAGTGGCACACAAACTGCGGGGTCAGTTAGCTTAATCAGCTGGACAGCTGGTCTGTAATGCTGTGTGATGCCAAGAGTGTGGGTTCAATTGCTGCACCAGCTGAGGTTACCATGAAGGACTTTCCCTTTGCAAGCTCTCCCCTTGTTTCAGGTGTGGTGAGGACAGCAAGATCATGCCACACAGAGCCACTGCCATTCTTCCTGGGCAACACCTCAACAAATTAATCAGTGTGTCAGAGGATAGATTATGGAGACCCTAGGAACCCCTTTGAGCACTGGGGGTATCTGCAGCCTGTATGACTCAGTCTAAGGTACCACTGCAGCATCCATGCGGTTGGGAGCCTTCTGTATGCACTGCAATGGAAGCTGATCCGGCAGCCACCATTATATTGAGCACATTGATTGTAACTGAGTACACAAGTCCAGTATTGGAGCTAGCCACCATCTCCATCCTGGATAGGATGGATTCCTAGCTCCATGTAAATCTGGTGCTGGACCCCTCCGTGCTCATTGACTGTAGCTCTAAGTTGTCTGGCAGATCAGCTAATGCACCAAGCATTTCATTTTGCACACCCTCAGCATTTTTTTGTCAGTCACCAGATCAAAGTACTCATCTGAGTTCATGCAGGAGAACTTATGAGTGACCCCATCTAGACGCACCTCTGCTACCTTTTGGAACGGTCTTGATTGCTGATTACTCATGTCCACTGTCTCACAGTATCCAAACTCTTCCTGTTTAAACTGCACCCAAAATTAAGCACACAGTCTCAATATCTAAGTTCATGGCTGTGAGTCTGAGATTGTGCAACAGTGCTTCTTCATCAGTCTTTTTCTTTAAATTCTATGAATCACTACCGGGCCAGGGTTCACTTCTTGGCTCTGATAGGGTAAAAGTAAAGGGATGGAGTTATGAGAGAGCCTAGTAGGATATCAAAAGGTGCCACTTAGACCATCTGCAGCTTGAAAACACGAACAGATCACGGGATCAGTGGGGAATCAGTAGGATGTGGGAAATAGTTTTGGGTATGAATGTACCATCACTTTCAATCCATTCAACCTTGTTAATGGTCACAGCTGCTGCAATAACGCTGAACATCATCTGCTCCAGTAGGGTGAGGACATGGTGCCATGCCTGATCCTGCTGATCAGCTGCCTGAAGTTGTGTGCTACTATTTCCCGCAGGGGGAAGAAGTGCCACAGAGAATGGTGCAATGTGTGTGAATGTTATTCTACGCTGGCTAACCTACTGACAGTGTCTGAAAGTTATGTGATCTGGGTGCGAGGCTGTAGCAATTCTGAGTGTGATGGTAAGGTCAAGCTACAAATGAGGTTTGAGTCTTGGTAGGCAGATATTATTGATGAATGAAGAGGAGATTGTGAATTGAGCAATGTGTGAAACCAGTGGTTCATTTGTAATTTCTTTTAAAGTCAATCTGTTTGGACATGTTATGATATAAATCCATGCAGGTAGGACTTGAACCCAGACTTTTTGGCCCAGTATTGGAACACTATTACAGTGCCAGAAGATTACCTTAGTGGTTCACTGTTAGTGGGTGACATTTGAAGATCCATTCATCGATTTCCATTGAGTCACTAAGCTTCTTAGGCCACTACAGGTTCTCAGGGTTACACTGCTGGCATGCCCCCATTGCCTTTGCTATCAGGAGGACCGTTAGGGTAACCTGAAGATATGCTACGTTCTGCTCCTATTCATCTTCTACACCAAAGCCTCCAATACTGCTTTGGTGAACCTTGGAGTACCCTCTCTGCCCTACTATGCCATTTTTCAATGTTCTTGCTGCTTTGATATTCATCCCCAGGCACATGCAGCATCCATTGTAGGCCAAGTGCATCTCCTTTTAATTTGTTTTGACAAGTTTCAACTTGCATCCACTGCTCAGGAATGGAGTTCTACACAGCATAGTGAACACTTGCTCGCATTGAAAGCAATGGATTCAGGTTTTTCACTCGTTGTGATCCGCATGCCTGTTTTTGGACCAGACCAAATTTTGCAGCAACTGTGTTATGGTGTCTGCTAAATTAAGTCAAAACACTGTGCGTTCAGAATTTGATGCAGCCAAAAAAAGAAATTTTAAATACGGTGGAGGGAATTGCTCAGAAGGCGTGAATTAGATGCAATTCACAGTCTATTGTTAATCAACAGATTTGTGGACATATTAACCAGAAGCTGGTGGGTTCAAACATAGGTTCTAAACACTTCAATTAGAAATCTGTTGTTTCATGAAACAATGCCTGGTAACAGAAAATTAACCAGGCTAGGTTTTAATCCGGTTTTTATATGCTAGTGAATTTCAATAATGTATTGTCAAAAGCAAAACCCAGTTATATCAAAGCTCATTCTGCTGCGAGAAAATGACAAGATTAAACAAATAATATTGATTTAATTTGAAAATGCCTTTTTAAGTCATTAAAATAGTAATTCTGCTAGTCTTCTCTCCCATTTTTGTTCAGCCAAGGGTCGTGAACATCCATTGGATTGATCCAAGTTATTATGCGAAGTACTGCAGTAGTTTGCCACTGCCTTCTGCAGGATGGCTGACTAGAAAACCCTCTCACCCTTACTGTCCTCTACCAGGGGCATTGGAAGGATTTACAGGCTGATTATCTATCTGTTTGGCCACATTATGAATGTAATTTCCATGGCCGACAAGTTCTGATGTGGGACTTCTAGCCCAGAGAAATAGATACTACCAATATTCTCTCCTGGCCAAACAGAGGGTCCATACGAGATGAATGGTATGATGCTGTTCGCAGCACTGACACAGCATCTTTCATGTGACAATTGGCAAATCTAAACAGTTAGCCCCACACGCCATCGCGTTAGTGAAGATTTCAAGAATGCAAGAACTAATGTTTCTGAATTTTTCTCCTCTCCAAAAGACTCAAAGTCAGTGCTATTCAAAACTTTAAAAAATTCTTCTAAATGCTTTTTAAAAATTATAAGTAGTTTCACTAAACTCATTTATTATTCAAATGCTCCATTAATTAATGCTCAAGAATACATACCTGCAGAACACATGCATCCACCAACAAATGAATGATTTAGAACTCACTTTAATTTATCTTGAGTGAAAACCTTTATTCTGTCTTCTGCCAAATAGTTATTAGATGACATAGAATTTATTAACAGCTTCTAGTCTGAGTTCAGGTATTTTGTAATCAAACTGTTCAGAGATATTATCACAGACCTCTGGAGCGGATGGGTCTTGAACCTGGGCATCCTGGCTCAGAGGTAAGGACACTACCACTGCACCACAAGAGCCCACTTAAATTCTGAGTCCAGATATTTTTAATCAACCTGTTCAGACATGTTATGACACACATCTAGAGATGGTAAGACTTGAAGCTGGTCCCCTGGCCCATGTGTAGTGACAATACCACTGCATGAGAAGAGCCCACTTAACTTCTGAGACCATAACCTATACATTTATTCAACACACCTGTTAGAGAAAAGAGATTCAAAGAAGGAACTTTTGTAGTTCTAACCTCTAATAGTCGTGACTCACTTGCTCACAGTAGTCGTTGCCCTCGATGTCATCACTATTGGAATGTCCACCAGGACTCTGAACATCAATCCCATGACTCTCCAGGATTGCTGCTTCTTTGAAAAGAAGATTAATCAGAAACTAACTAACCTTAAAAAAAACTCCACATTACGTATATTTTAAAAACAAGCCTAATTCTGTACACTCAAGTCTGACTTCCAGCATGGGTCAATCATGAGTAAAATGTCTGGATGGTATTCTCTTCCCTAGCCCAAGGTCATTATTACCAATCATTGTGCCTTCCTGTCACCATAACTGAAAGCATGCAAGTCACGATAGACTGAAGATGGAACTTGGAGCCTTTCATTCAACATGTCTTTACCAACTGTGCAATTGGAGGCCTCAGTTCTACTTACAATATTCCATTCAACCTAATTAGTTCTACATTAAATATTTACTTATTTTGAAAAGTTTGAAAAAATTTAAGAGGATCACCAGGCACAAACACTTTTTGCTATGTGGTCACTGGAACTCTACGGTCTTTGGTACTCCTTGCCACAGAGAGGTGGGAGAGGGGGCAGAGTCTATGCGTATATTTAAGGCTGAGACAGACAGATTCTTGATCTGTCAGGGAATACAGGGCTACAGGGAAAGGGCAAGAAAGTGGACCTGAAAAATGTTGGATCAGCCATGATCTTATTGAACGGTGGAGCAGGTTTGAGGGGCCAAATTGTCTATTCCTGCTCCTATTTCTTAAGTTTTATGGTTGTAAATCTTTGGAATTCTCTACAACAGAGGAAGATCAGTAGTAGACATTTGACAGATTTCTAAATACCAATGACTTAAAAGGATATGGAGAAAATGTGGCATTGGAGTGAATGATTAACCATGATTGCACTGACTGGTGAAGCAGGCTTGAATGGTCTACTCCTGCTCCTATGTTCCTATGTTCACAATGTTGTAATTATGAAACAAGTATTCTATGACCTGTAAGTAAACATAAAATCATTCCTGCAGAAGTTTCAATAGCCTTACCTATATTTGCTCTTCTCTTCATCTCCTTCCGACGGTTGGCAAACCAGTTATACACTTTCAGAGGGGTAACTCGTTCAAACTCTGATAACTTTTTACCTGTATGAGTGAAAAATATGTAGGCAAACCTATTACACTGAAAGTACTTCACCACATGTAGTATGATTATCTTGTATCACTATTTTTAGTATTTGGAAAACTTTCCAATTAATAACAACTTCTCTCTTAATGTATCGACAAGCTAGAAGGTTCTCAATTGTTTGAGCTGAACAAGAATTCATGCAAAGCGTTACTTCTTTAAAAAAAAAGAGGGAATATTGATCAATTTAAGACAACAACCTCTAATGTATTCTATTGGGAATACAGCATGGTAGCTTGATTGAACATGTTTGATAGGTTTTCCATCTGTTCTTAGTTAACAGCCACTTAAAATCTACTGTACTGGAGATTTAAGATGGCAGCTTGATTGAAAGTTTTGTCCAGGCCTTCCCTATTCTTAATTCCCACATAAATAGATTTTAAAGGACTGATCACTTTTACTTCCATAATCATTGTAGTCATAGTCATTGTGCATTTAAGAGTGCATTGTTTTGGAGTAAGACAATTTTTGTAAAATTTCAAAAGGATACTTAATTGCAGCTTTTGTGTTGGGAGTTCATTGCTGTTTGTGTTAAGATTTCTTAGTTTAAAGTTCTGGCCACTTAGGAATTATGTAGAACTAACAATATTTTTCTCAATGTATTAATTTCATATCTCTTTCAACAAGTGCTTTACGTACACCCATTTTAAAATATGTAGACTTTGTAATTTATGTGCAGTAACTGCTTGCTTGAAGTTGTAGTTGCATTCCTTAAATTCGTCATGTTAAATGAAACAACTTTAAGTGAATCATAGGTTCCAGTGGGAATCAATGTTAAATCCGGAGTTAAGTTCCATTGGACATTTCTTGCCCAGTGGGGAAAAAGATTACTTGTTGAAATACTGTACTTTACATGTGCAATACAGTACATTCTTAGCTAAATTACTTGCTAGATAAACACACTAACTATAAAAGAAATACATGGACAACAAAAAATATACTCAATATACAGTATATTTAGATTGACCAGTTCCCACCTAGTGGCAAATGCTGGTCAGTGTGGGTACCAGCTGAAATCTCATAATCCCAATCACTCAACAGATTCTGCCACTAGATGGAGTCACAACGTCAGTGGGAGTTCAGGAGTGGAGCCAGCAGCACAGTGGGGATGAAGCCAGCAGCCAGGGAAGAGCCCCAGTGCCTAAGGTAAGATCAGAGTGGGAGGCAAGGCCTGGGACAAGCTATAGCTAAGGGGCAAGGCCCAGGCAGAGGTAAGGCTGGAGTGAGGTATTACGAACTAGAACATTTGTGGCAAATGATGCTAAAGTGAAACTGCCAACACTAAACAGATCTATTATCCCTACTTTATGAACAATGTTAAAAAGCACAGGAGTGTTGAGTATGACAACTTCCAGTAAAGACTTACTGTGTTGTATAAGAAACCTGCAAAGTCTTCAGTACAAGTGATGCTACATGCACCAAATTTTCACAAACACAAAACACTGTTCTGTGTTTCGACAGTGTTTGAAACATTTAGTTGCCAGAAACCAGGTATTTCGACTTTTTGTGGTTGATTCCTTCTGCTTGTATTATTTTACAACAATCCATACCTGATTCTAGGCACTGCTCACCTGGTTTCTGTATGACTGTATTGCAGGCATTCGCAATTTCCTCACGCTTTGCCTCATCTGGATACTGATTTTCACCAAAATAACTGTAAGGTGTGAAATCAAACAGAGGACAATTATGAGCTTATTCAAGTTGTTATGTCCTGTCTGTTATTACTTAAACACTGCAATAAGCAGATGAGTGTAAAAATGTTTTGAGTTACTCTTATGTAAATTTGAGTTTCACTGTAAAGGTTAATTATCAGTTGGGTGTGAGGTTATGGGCTAAGCCTAAACCTCTGCTCAGCACAGGCACCAACAGAGAAGTTAACCAACCTTGACTTGGTAAATAAAAATTCTGATGAATAAATGACTACTGTGGATTTCTGACCAGTATTCGTCTTTCAGTCTTCAATGAAATAAAGGTTTGATAATTCATAGAAATGACAAGTCAAAAGCACTCCTACCATCCAAGTGTCATGAAAGCAAGTTCTGAGGAAGGGTCACCGGATAAGTAACACACATTGTTGCATGATTTCACAGGTAGTACCATTCCTTTTAATATCTGATAAAAACCAAAAGAACTGCGGATGCTGTAAATCAGGAACAAAAACAAAGTTGCTGGAAAAGCTCAGCAGGTCTGCCAGCATCTGTGAAGGAGAAAACAGAGTTAACGTTTCGGGTCCAGTTCTGAGGAAGGGTCACCAGACCCGAAACGTTAATGTTGTTTATTTCCTTCACAGATGTTGCCAGACCTGCTGAGCTTTTCTAGCAACTTTGTTTTTGTTCCTTTTAATACCTTATTCTATTGCATTCTCATATGGACAGTCAAATAGAGTCACTGTAGGCTATCATAACTAAGATGCAGGTTTCTGCCTTAAAGGAAAGCCTCTCTAACACAGCAAAAATGGCAGAAGACATCAGAAATTCTATGTCCTGTCATAAACAGAGCATTTCCCATTTTCATGGGGCAAGATTGGGGGTTAGCCATGATTCATGCACGTATGATTTGCAGAAGCAGCTGGCTATGTAAATAATCAGCTGCTTCCATTAAAATCAGACTTCGTCCATAGACCTTTGAGAGTGGCCAAATTTTAAAAAGACCTATGAAACGCAGCAAAAAATTTCAAGACTTAATGAGAAGTGTCAAAGCAGTTCAGACCTGTGAAAACATATTTTGATGAATTAGGATGCTTTGCTTAATACAATGTGGAACTTCAAGTAAAAGCACTGTATCTTTTCTCCTGTGCGCATGAATATCATAGACACTGCATGAGTTGGCTATGGTACGTTAAGGCTGAAAGGCTGGTGGGTGGCAATAGGCACAAAGTTAGTGTATAGGGTATGAGGGGTAATAGGGAATGGACACAGGAGCATAGGCTGGCATGGGAATGTGGCAGAGTGAGA